AATAGCATACACTTACCAAACGATTTCTGAAAGGACTGAGTAATTGCAATTAACTGAGTTAAAGTGGCATTCATTGTTTTTTAGGGTACAAATTGGTCAGGTGCATAAAATCCTTTAATTTGCATCATGACTTTGTATTTGTCATTTTAGAGTATTGCAGTCAATCGCCGTTGCCGCGCCCAAGCCTGTTGAGAAACGCCCGAGGGTAGGGAATCGTGACGAGATCTCCAACAAAACTGAGCCGTATGCCTCTTACGGTAATGACAATATCGAAAGTTATATCGGCTAAGTCGTCTCTCGGGGTACCAAGGGCCGCGAAGACTTAGGGAACTGGGGCAGGCTGCGAAAAGACGACGATCAGAACCTCCTTCAACCATCTGGCCGCTGCAGTCGCGGCAGCATGGCGACGATGCCGAGATCGACAAGAAGACGGAGATGCAGTCAGCATCAGAGCCGCTCTCCATTCTGAATGGATGAGGCACAGAGCGCGATGCCATTATAGCAAGTCAGATAAAATTCCATTTTTCCTGAATGAAAACGACAGTGGGAGCTCACAATCGTAAATTGGAACTCACTACTCACTCACTCTGAGGGAAAGAGCAACAAGTAGTTAATGAGGCCGCAAGGAACCGACTGGACATAGTTGGACTCGTCTCAACTAAGTTGCAGGACTATGTAATTCTGAACCTCTGCGGGTGGAAGCTATTTTGCTCAACTTTCGTCACTATGACCCACCCACGTTCAGACTTATGTTGGCGTGATTGTATAACCATCCTAACCATTCCTGCCAGGCACAGTCACTGAATAGAAGCCCGTCAGCGGGAAACTGACAGTTTCCCGACCGAAGATATAACAGGCTAAAGTTCGACCTTGTTACAAATCATTGCGCTCAATTTTGAGGGAGATATGAGTCCTTCTTTGAGGAAGTGGAGTGTGCTTTATACGAAATGTCAATAGCGGAGTCCCTTATTTTAATAGGTTATTTAAATGCGCATATCTGAGCAGGCACTGGAAACTGGAAAAGGGTGATTTGAAAGAACGGTCCGAGTGCCCTCAAACAATAAGTGCATGAAATTGTTGCGGTTTTGTGCAGACAACGGACGGTCTGTTATGAACACCTTCGAGCATCGAAACGTGTGTCAGTATACCTCATATAGGGAAGTCAGTGAACAGAAATCAATGATCGATTTGATAACCGTATCATCTGACTTACGACGCTCTCTAATGGATGTTCACATTAAAAAAGGCCCAGTGCTGTCAACCAATCATCACCTCGCTGTTGTCACTCCCGGAGGATGGATAAAATACGAAGACCTGACAGCAGAGGCACCTACATGTGATTAAACAGCCGCTTATAGATAATGCGATGCCCTAAACTTTTCAGTATGGTGTGTTTGTGCGCGGAGGTGAAGGAGGCAAGCCTTCTACACAGTACGTTGGAGGGGTCCATACTGTATATACTACGGTCCAGAATGGCAATCTGTCCATACCGCTAAAAAGCGAGACTGATTCGCACTTTGGTGAATCAGACCGCTAATCAATGGTTTTTTCGTATTACCGCCTAAGCCTACGACGAGTAAAACTAAGTCTTCAGGGACAGTGTAAAGGTCAAAGGTTAAGGGGGCGGTTCAGCTACAGCGGGGCGAAATCAATGCATTAAGCGGTGCGAAATTAATTTAGTCAAAACCAGTGTGAACCAGTCCATGCCATCATGGACGATACCGATCAGGCATTGCTGATCTACAAGTGAAACACGGAGGTGAAGCATTTCAGATGATTGAAAAGTCTATCTCGACTCCATCATCACCAGCAATAGTATTATCAGATCAGAGTTACATAGGATAATCGCCGTAGTCTTGAAACCACTTTGGAAGCCTGCCCAATATTTGGCATGATTATGGAGTGATTATTACCACGAAAATTCATCTGTAATATTGCCTCTGTCAGGTCAGTGTTCCTCCTACGTCATGAAGACAGTTGTTTTAACGAAGGAGCGCGAACGACTGTCGAATACAGAAGTGCTGGATTCGACGAAGAAAGGGCAAAATAGCAGGACCACGTAAAAAATGGTTTTAGTCTCTTCCGGTTACGGGTGACTGCAGCAGATGTGAAGATTAAAAAAAGTGATCGCCTCTATTATTCAGGTTAGCATCAGCCACTTGCTCCAGTCCATGAACTTCTCGCGTATGAGCCGAAACGCAATAGACGTCGACCAGGAAGCCAGCATGCAAAACGGAAGAAGAAGATACAGGCAGATCTGCTTTCGGAGAGGAACATTTCATTCTGAGATGCAGCAACTGGTACCTTATAGCAAAAGTGTTGAAAAGCTGTGGATACAACGGATATCACAAATCATAGACGTTCTGCTTATGTAAATGGTTAAAAGTAATGATATCAATAACAAATCATGTTGAACGGTAATACATATACCGGTAATATATATTGATAGGTATTTGAACGATTCATAGTTGAAGGCACCAAATATAACAGATGGTAAAACAGTTTATTGTCGACGCGTTTCGCTACGTACACTGTAGCATCATCAAGAATAGGTAAAGTACAAATGACTGCTCTTGAAGGCACTTAAGTCTAAAAAGGGAACAATACTTCACGATTAAAATGTTATCGAATTGATCGGCCAGAATGCTTCACCAACAAACAGTGTGAGGTTCTTATTAAAACAATGGGATCATTGTTGTGTAAACATGATTTACCGTATCAGTTTTGCAATCGTCCCCCCAGCTTTCGACTAATGACCACAGAAGATGTGTATTCACTGCATATCCGGTATTTCATTGCCGGTATGCAAGGGCGCCCTTATCAGCAGACCTAATTTAGATTGATCCTTGTCTATAACAAACACATTAGTCTGACTGAAAGAATGCCCCTCAGTAAATCATGTATCAGGCGACGCCTGCATGAGCTTTGGTTCGGATCCTTCTAGTAAGATATACCACAACGCCGAATTGCCGCTTGTCCTCTAATAAAGCATAAACCATTTATCTGAAGCAATAGACGACAATAATCGTGAGCCGCTATGGCAGTCACGAGGCTATACTGACCTCCAAAGCGATCAGTTGATGAAACAGAATAGACAAAGGATGACATAGCGCCTTATGCCTTCAAAGAGAAAGAGTGTAGGAAAAGAGTACATTGACTACAAACCCAAGAAGAAAGATTTTATTACCCTATAGATTCTGCATGTAGTGTATCGTACTGTTTGTTTTATCCACTGATGACAATACTTGTCTTGCGTTGAGATTCGGATAGGCATTTGTCGTGAAGAAGATCCTGACAAGAAAACTCAGCTTCGCTTGCCCCAGTTTTGAGAGCAGTCAGCAAAGTGAACTTCGGCTATCGTCTAGGTGTATGCTACGGTAGGAAGAGGTAAACGGATTAAATAAAGTTAGGCGAAGCATGAGAAATGTTTGACGTTTTTTAACCGTATGTGGTGCTCACCTCAGTCTGCACCGCCTTTACACGAACGAGGGCGCGGTCCGGCAACCAATCGCATGAAGCTGGTAAATTGAGTTTCAGGCAGTTGTGCCGTAGTGCCGCTGTCCATAAATGACAGAGGTGGCGGAGATTTCGACGGCGAGAAACGCGCATAGCGCGATTAAATCGGCGGCGGCCATCAGTCACCGGATTGGATCGTGACCGCCGCCTCTTCTTAGCCATGCATCCATCACCGATGACCGCTGACAGCGCTGCTCAACGCGCATGAGCTCAAGCTCCCCCTGGCTCTCGTGCAACGCGGCAGTAGCCGACGGCGACCCATTCATTACGTTTCATACGCTTTTTCCTTTTCGCTCCGCTGGTCGCCCTAATGTCACCGCTACCTCCGTTACGTTGCATTGCTAATCGATAAAGGACCCCCGGTCTGATGTTCGACGCCGCCTTGTACAAATGATGACTGTCTTAAATCAAGTTTCGATTAGAAGCAGTTAGAGAACAGCGTGTACGCGACCAAGGCCGAAACATTGGCCGGTGTCTGTCAGCAGCAGTGGTCAGTTTCTCTCGCTGACCATAACCTTGCGACACAATCTTGACTACATACGCACCCGCGCACCACTTGTTTTGCCGGTATCGATGTGCGCACGAGCGACGACGACCGCTGCTGTTCCCCCCGCTGTCAACGATTCAGCGGCCATCTTTGAGTACTTGACAGACTGGCGTGGCTTTTCAAGTACAAGCCCATTAGTTTGTCCGCGGTCAGCGGTGTAACCTTAGCCAGCATCATTCTTAAGGAATCGATCTGCGTTCATCTTAATTCGAGTGATGACATAACAAAGGTTCAGCGGACCGTGAACCTCATAGGTGAGTCAATGGTGAAGTTTCTCGGCTCTCAGTTGACTCAATCGTTGCTTTAACGCTCGAACAACGTTCTGGGAGCGCAGCTGGCGTGAACGCGCTTCGTCTGGCTTGCACGCACGTAATCTGGTCGACGATGGCCAGATTATGCATTCATGCTCATGGTCCACTGACCACTGTCCAATGACCGCTGGTCAGAAAGTGATGTGTCAAGGATGCGCTTGATCGACTGGAGCAGTATGATGACCGATCGCGGTCGCCGTCCACTGATTAACCGAACTAGCGCTAGGACATGGCTCTTAGCAAAGATTGATGACAAATTTATCCGGCTCGATCTATCATCGTCTGATGAATTGTAGGGAGCCGGCCGCAATGCCGTAGTCGTAACCGGAGCCACTGCTTATCTAGTTGTGAACGCGGCAATCGCTGTGCGCTCGCGTATGTTTGCCCCTCCGTGCGCCACCTCGTTCCGCTGGGCCTGATTGGTCACTTCCGTGTCCCTGTCGACCGCGGTTGGTCGATTTGACGATCGGTTGGGCTATACCTCCTCGCTGCTCTCGAACCTACTCGCTCTCCCTCACCTTCGCCCTGGTCCACGACTCCGCTCGGCTGGG